CCTGAAAGAGCTGTTCGTGGACTCGACTGAAAACCGTTGGACTCGAAAAGTTGAGTTCTTGTGGACATTTTTCCTTCTTTGCCTCAATAATCAGTCTTGGCGATATGATGTACAACGAAACATTACTTTTATTTCAAAATAAACATTTGACTCATATCACCGACACGAAACTTAAGTTCATTTAAGGTGTTCAACAAGTGCTTTTCGTATTCAGCACACTCGATAACCCAGAAGATTTTCTAGTTTGTCAAAATCTTAGGAAAAATTTTGAAACTAATAGAACTTGCTCATAGAAATTAATTTTCACCATATTTAGGGTGATTGATAACAGTCTGTGATCCGTTCGTTATTGATGATATTCATTCCTGACAATCTTTTTATATTTGCATTTAGCAATGCAGAGAGAAGTCTTAATTTTGCAAAACGGTGATTTCCATACTTAGTTGCTACTTAGTTTATTCTGGCTTTATTAAAACAGAAACGAAACATCAAAACATTGAAAATACATTATTGTAGCAGAAAGTCAAGAATAGCAGATGGATTAGACCAGACGGTATAAGTAAATACACTCAAAAATTAAATTTATTGGATCAACAGACAAAATGTATGTTAAAACAGCAGAATGTGAGTGATACATGCGACTTTATTTGTCAAGAGCAACAGACATTCCACGTCGTACAGCGTGACGTATTGCTCGTTTTTGACCAACCACGGCACCCCGCTTTTTTTTACCTCCGTCATTAATTTTTCAAAAATCATGTGTCGAACTGGATGTGAGTTGAGACAATATAATATCTATGTATGACACTATACGATTAGCGAATAGTCTCCCGGAGCCTCCATCATAATTGTAGTCGTAGTCCCCGTTACCATTGTAGTCTCCATCACCATCGCCTCCGTCACCGGTGTAGTCTCCGCCACCATCACCTCCGTCACCGGTGTAGTCTCCGCCATAGTCGCCACCGTCATAATCATAGTAGCTTGCAGGTTCGGTAGTTTCTACATTCAGGAATTTGGTAGTAGTAGTTGGTACTTGCGGTTTATTTGTTCCACGGGCAGTACTTCCGCTACCCTTCGAGCTTGACAATATTTTGGCAGTACTTCCGCTACCCTTCGAGCTTGACAATGTTTTGGCAGTACTTCCGCTACCCTTCGAGCTTGACAATGTTTTGGCAGTATTTGGCTTTGATGAAGTCTGCGAACCACTTCCACCCGATAGAATGCATGCAGCATCCGAACTACATCGTGTTTGTTTTACTTGTACACACCAAGCAGAATTTTTAAGTTCATTCGCAGCTCCAGTATAATCTTTATTTTGAAGGTCAGCTTTCATCTTGACGAATTGATTTAGCGTTGCACAGCCAGCAAATGCTACATCAATCAAAGCAGCCTGAACTTGCGCTGATAAACCAGACACAAAACTGTTTACACATGTTGTGGCTTCCGGATAAGATTTGCTGTTAAATATTGCTTCAATTTGAGCTTGTGTTAAACAGCTTTTTGACGTGCTTTTTTTACAATCATTCAAAACATTCGCAAGAGTTAAACCATATTGAGACAAAGTGGACGATGCATCAGTCCCGTTTAAATTAAAACCATAACCAATTGTTGGTATACCTGTTGTATCATAATAACAACATAATTTGGCCCCTTCATTTAACATCGTTTGACTGGAGCCACATTGTGACAGAGCAGCTGGAATTATTGATAGTAAGATTAAAAGAAACTTCATCGCACTCAATTCTACGACTTCACCTAGTAGAGTATAAGCGTGTCTATCTATTTAACTGATAATTATGTGTTGATATTCAAGCATTGGCTATGCTTCAGGGGATTTGATAAAAAACATATTCTTAACCACGCTGATGTAGCATGCTACTTTCGCATATATTTTGTACTGATAAAAATGTGTATACAGGTATGACGTGATTGTTCTATACCATCTTGAATTGATTTTTTCTGTTTCTTGCGTTCTTGTTGTTGTGTGGGTTGAGTTGTGTAGCAAACGGTAAGCAGTAACATCTTTAATCCAGTTTGCAGTTGTAACCATTTTGACTAAACCAAAAATGTGAGCTAAATCGAATAAAATAACTTTCTACAATTACGTTCTCTATATGAGAGTCATTAATATTCTATAACGCTATCTGATTCTCCGATAAATGTTGATTCATTAGAATGATTTAGGTCTGTATTTTATAATTTTTGAGCTATATACCAGTAGCAAAATACTGTACAAGTTGTACAGTATAATACAAGCTATTTTTGAGCCTCAAACTCGGAATCTAGCATTGGAAAAGATTCACTTTATTGAAATTTTGAAGTCGAAAAACTCGGTTTTTCTCGTTAAAACTGCTTTTACAGGACCAGTCAAGTTGTCCAAGAAATTTGACAAGCTCATATAGTAGAGCAGAAATTTCTCTACATAATGAACTACTTAAATAAAACTTCAGAAAAGAGTCCAAATATGGCCTACAATAAGTGGTACAATGAGTATTATTCTCTAGTTTATTGGACATACTTTTTTCAAACAAAAAACACTATAGGAGTAGAAAACGAATATCGATGACGTTACAGAAAGCATGATTGTTTTAAGGAGTAGTATACGACTGGAAATCGACCCACTAAATTATTATATTTTATTGCCTCAAAGTATCCAGAATTCACTAAACTTATCTTATTCGGTGCTGCGGACTTCATGAAGTCCGAAGCACTGAATAAGATAAGTTTGATGAATTCTGGATACTTTGAGGCAATAAAATATAATAATTTAGCGGGTCGATTTCCAGTCGTATGCGGACTACTCCCTTTTCTTTTTTTATTAAAAAAATGTTTTTGTCTGGTAACTTTTTCTTTAAAACGCAAAAGTACATTACATCAAATTATAAATGTGAAGGTTATTGCAAAGATGGGCGTTGTCTTCAGTTGTATTTCTCTTTTATGACTAATATTCTTCGCCTTTCTTTCCTCGAACAGATACTAGTACATTACTTTTATTATTCAACTGCTCAAAATAGTCATACATTCTAAATGGTTGCAAGAAAAATGACGTGCTCAATTAATGACGGGGCTGTCGTTAATCACCAGAACCTTCTGGTTATACTGGCGGATTTTCCACTTTAACTATCTAGACAATAAATCGAAGAAGAGCTTTTTCTCAAAGGCAAGAACCATATCATCGACAATAAATTAAAGTTTGTTTAGAGTTAAAGAAAAGTGCCTTTTCGTATTCAGCAAACTTGATAACCTGGAAAATTTTCTATTTTTAGCCAGGGGTACCGCCAAAAAGTTAAGAAAGATTTTCGAAATTGTATAATTTTACCATTAAGATTTTTCTGCGTCAATTTGTTTGAAAATTTTTCTTAACTTTTTGGCGGTACCTCTCGCTAAAAATAGAAAATTTTCCAGGTTATCAAGTTTGCTGAATACGAAAAAGTACTTTTCGTTAACTCTAAACAAACTTTAATTTTTTTTTATCGGTGATATGGGTTACGTTGTACAATGGGCACTTCTGGTTTAAACTGGCGTACATAAGACTCTTTTCGTTAAAAACAGGAGTTGTGCCGCAGACATCACTTTCGATCATTTAGCAAGCACTATTCAGCAAAATAAGGCTGTTTCAGAAAAAAACATTTCCAAATTTAATTAGGGGATTTTGCATATGATGGCAATGATAAACTGTTGTTTGACACGTTTCTAATTGTTTTAGCAGAGGTAAAGAGTGATGGAGGAACAAGTGTCTTAGTCAAAGACTCCTGCAAGCCAACTGAATATATAGAATTGTTACAGTCAAATGTTTTTCCTAGAAAAAAAAAACGCTTTATCTATAACACTATCTAACGATCGTTAACTTGTTGGATATTGATAGTGATGTAGTTGAACATAAGGTTGTTGCGACGCGTTAAAATGAAGAAGAGCTCCTTCCGAAAGGCTAGAACGCTTGCGTGGGTCATACTATATCGTGCAGACAGATTAGATACACCCACAAATAGTCTTCATAAAACGGATGTTGGTCTGCCACATTACGAAAAACCTTCACAACGATTTCAGTCCACAGAAGAACAAGGTGTGCTTTACTTGTGAGTATCGTAATGGAAACACAAAACCAAACCAAACAAGAATGATCTTAAGTAAATCAAAATACAGCAGTCGATTCTGTAATGCAAGAAGTACCATGGGAACTATTGCATAGACAATTTATTTATTTAGTTTAAACTGTCGAAAATATTGGAAAAAAATCAGATTGATATAAGATTTATTCTGCTAGAATACAAACAGAAAAATATTCCATTATAGTATTCTAAACTAAAACTATCGAGAAATAAAATCAGTTTGGTACTAACAGAAATTCGAACACATAAACTTAGCTTTGCAGTAAATTTCAAAACTAAATCCGGTATTCTGTGTCTATATTCTGTACAACAATTGAAGTTGTGCAATCGAATCAATATTACCAGCTGTCATTTTTTTGGAATGTTTTTGTGTTCTGTTTTGAAAAATCAAATGGTATTTGTCGATACGTCAACTAGCAAACGAGAGGATTCAGATGGGCATGATGAAGCTGAAGGAGACAAAGACAACTATGAATTTTATTAAGAGAAAGATTACAGCTCAAGAAGTACTGAACGAACTTCTAGCTATATACGGAAACATAAAAGAGAGTGACAATAACGAAATTGTACGAAACTTTGTCAACTGCAACAAAGTCTAGCTATTTGACCCTCTCTCCCCGCACAGGCGCGAACATTTGGCTATCCTCTACTCCCCTTGTCTACGCGATCAAAATTTGTTTACCGTTGAAAATACAAATAAAACCAACTTTTTCTCCATTAGTGTGGACAAAGTGTCTAAAGGCGAATTGACGAATCGCAATTTTTGGGCGTAAAAATGATGCAACAATTCGCATTTTACCATTGTTTTGCGAATTCGTAATTCAATGCGAACTGATGC